GCGCAGTCAGTCCGAGGCGCCACAAACTCTCCCCGAGAAGGGGGCGCGGCTGTGACTCACCCCTCCCCTGCGCACCCTCTCCTCCGCCCCTCTCCAACACACACCCCTCCTCTGCCACCCGCCTCCACTCCGGATCCGGTGGTAATCTGCTGCCGCCGCCGCTGCAACTTCTGTCGGGGCTCAGGTGACCTCCGGCTTCGATGCCCTAGTCCAGGCCCCGGGGCCGGACCCCGCTGGGCGCCCCTCGGCCTCGCCGAGAGTCATGAGGGCCCGCGGGGCGCTGCAGGTGCTGGGCTTGCTTCTCAGCCTGGCCCGGGGCTCCGAGGTGGGCAGCTCGCAGGCAGGTAAGCGGCGCGGGCGCGGGCGCGGCAGCCACCTCGCTCCGGGGAGCCGGAACCGCGCGCGCAGCCGCCGGGGTGCGAGGCGCCCAGTCTCCCGCCAGACTTGGGTCAGGCCAGGCCGGGCGTGCTGGCCCCTCTTCTCCCCTGTGCGTCCCGCCGACCCGCAGACCCCTTCCCCTGCTGGTGCTGCTGTGCCCCGCTGGGAGAGGAGCCCGGACCCCCAATCTGAGAGCGGGAGGAGGGGCTTTGGAGGTGGAGATCGTGGCGGGAGAGGGGGGTCTTGAGAGCCCCCCTACTCGCCTCCCTACTCACCCACTTCCACCCCCCGGCACTTCCACCCCACCCCCTCCACCTATCCCCCCAGCCCCCGTTTCAGCAAAGTCCAGTTTGGCGGTCGGGCTGGCAGGGCGGAGCTCCGGGAGGACTGGGGTGGGGAGGCCAGGTGGGAGTCGTTGTTGTTGTGCGCATTGGAAAACAGGAGCTGCACCTCCCCTTCCGCCAGGGGCCCTGCCCTGAGGAGGGCTGAGATTCGCCAGAGGGCCAAGTCCAGGTGACACCAGGGGCAGAGGTCCTCCTGAGCCTGCCTGTGCCCTTGCCCTCCCAATAGCCAAGCTGGCAGCCCCGCACTGGACCTGCCTGTCTTTGGAGAAGACATGCCTTCCACAAGTTCACTGTGGGGAGCATCTGCTCTCAGCCAGGCGCTGGGCCTGGAGCATAGGGGCCAGGACTTCCAGCCTCTATTTCTTCTTTTACCTGTTCTCTGCCCAACTTGGGGCCCAGTGGGCACCCCTTCCACCTCCTGCGCCTGCTGTCCTGGAGAGCCCGTTCCAGGCCGGGCTCCTCAGTCAGTTCTGTTTCTTGGACTCAGGAGACAAGGCTCCCAGATTGCCCTTCCCTAGCCCTCCCCTCCCCTCCCCTCATGACATCTGACCCCCTTTTGGGGGCACCTCTGGGACCATGAACGCCTGTGGGTGCTGGAACTTGAAGAGCCCTCTTGTTTCTCTCTCAGATCCCAGCCTGCAGTGTGGCCCAGGCAGGGCCCCTTCCCATGGGTGGGAGTGGGGAACACCTGTGCTTCCCCCACAGTTGCCGGGCCTAAATTTAGCCCCTGGGATCTTGAGATATGAACACTCCCAGCTGGTGCCGGGTGGGGGTCTGGGGACTGGAGTTGGAGGGAGGCGTGGAATAACTGCACCCCTGATCCATGCAAACCCCTGGACTCTTCAACCTGCGCTCAGGGCGGAAGACCCTGGCCCCTTCCCTGGGGCAGCCAGGAGGCCCGCAGACTTGGGTCCCTTTACCCTTTATCTGGGTTCTGCAGCCTTTGGGCATCCGGCCCTGTCTCAGCTCTTCTATAGCCCCTTTGTCCAGCTGTGATGGGGGTGGGGGATGCTGAAGGGGAGGCCCTAGGTTGAGGAGGGGCTAGAGAGCCTCACTTTGTCCCACTCTGTTTGTGAACTGAAAGAGGGCCAGTGATACTGCCCTTCCCCTGACTTTGGTCCTCAGGACAGCCA